GAAATTTCGGATTTTGATACGGTTGCTCTAAAATTTGGGTTAGACCCATTTCCCACTCAATTTGACCCCCTAAACAAGAATATGAAGTCAAATTTTCGAAAAACGAAACGGATTTTTTTATATATAGCTAAACAAGTTTCCGGTAACTTCCGAAGCACATTTTTAAGAACTTTTTGGGTCATTTCAGCTAAATTCATGAAAGAGCTGGTCACAAAGAAGAGGATCTTGGACTATGAAACGATTGAGGTGCCCCATAGTTGCAGTGCAATTATGACAAATGAGTCAATCACTAAGAGAGAAGACCCTGGGGCATTCACAATCCCATGCACAATTGGCATGCTCCAATTTGCTAAAGCTTTGTGCGATTTAAGAGCAAGCATTAATTTGATGCCCTATGCAATATACAAGCAACCTGGTTTGAGTGAACCAAAGGAAACCACAATGAGACTCCTCATGGCTGATCGATCAATCAAGCACCCAGTGGGGATACTCTATGACATATTGGTAAAAGTAGATCGGTTCATCTTTCTGGCTGATTTTGTGATTCTAGATTGTGAGATCAATGCTGAAATCCCCATTATTTTGGAAAGGCCATTCTTAGCCACCGGGAGAGCATTGGTGGATGTCGAAAGAGAGAAAGTGAACTTTCATGTGAACGGTGATGAGGTGACCTTCAATAGCTGTAAATCCATGAAGCAACCAAGTAATATCCATGTGGTGTCAACTGAGGATGTTATAGATAAGGCAATGGCAAGTGTGAGCCATTTAATGCGCAAGAATGAACCCCTTGAATCTGTACTTGCCAATTATGATGAATTCGAAGTTCAAGGATATGAGGACGTGGTAGCTACCTTATCAGGGTTAGGAGTATATTAAAGGAATACAATCAAGTTGGATATCGACCTGAAAAATAGAGAAAGTCTTCCTGCAAATCCATCAACAGAAGAACCACTGAATCTGGAATTAAAAGCCCTACCCTCTCATCTCAAATATGCCTTCTAGGAGCCAATAATACTTTGCTAGTGATTATCGCAGCCGATTTACTTGAAAGGCAGGTGAAATTGCTCATTGAGGTATTGCGGAAGCATATAAAAGCTATTGAATGGACAATAGCCGATCTAGTAGGAATTCCTCCTAGCATCTCTACTCACAAGATTCGGCTCGACAGTGAATGTAAACCTAGTGTGGAGCATCAACGGAGATTGAACCCTCCAATGCAAGAGGTAGTCAAAAAGGAAATCATCAAGTGGCTAGATGCGGGAGTGATCTACTCTATTGCAGATAGTAAGTGGGCAAGTCTGGTGTAATGTGTACCGAAAAAGAGAGGTATAACCGTAGTCCCAAATGCAAAAGGAGAACTTGTGCTAACTAGACCAGTGACTAGGTGGAGAGTATGCATGGACTATCGAAAGCTCAACTCATGGACCGAGAAAGACCATTTTCCAATGCCTTTTATGGACCAGATACTTGACCGATTATCAGAAAGAGGGAGGTATTGATTTTTGGATGGATACTCCGGCTACAATCAAATCTCTATTACGCCGGAAGACCAAGAGAAAACCACTTTTACTTGCCCTTATGGAACATTTGCATTCAAAAGGATGCCATTCGGGTTATGTAATGCCCCAGCAACATTTCAGCGTTGCATGTTGTCTATTTTTTCAGATATGATGGAAGACTCTATGTAGGTATTCATGGACAACTTCTGAGTCATATGGGATACGTTTGAAGAATGTTTGACACACTTAGGGCAGGTACTCCAAAGATGCGTGGAAACAAATCTGGGTCTGAATTGGGAGAAATGTCACTTTATGGTGAAAGAAGGTATTGTTCTTTGGCACAAGGTGGAGCAAAAGGGGCTGGAAGTTGATAAGGCGAAAATTGAGGTCATTGAGAAATTACCCCCGCCAATTTCAGTGAAGGGTGTTCGCAGGTTCTTGGGGCATGCAGGGTTCTACCGAAGGTTCATTAAAGACTTCTCAAAGATTGCACACTCGTTATGCAAACTCTTAGAGAAGGAAGTGAAATTCTGTTTTAATGATATTTGTATGGCTGCATTTCAGTGTTTGAAAGAGAAACTAGTATCAACCCCAATTATCATTAGCCCTAATTGGTCCAAATCTTTTGAATTGATGTGTGATGCTAGCGGTATAACATTGGGGGTCGTGTTGGGGAAAAATCGCAACAAACTATCTCACCCAATTTATTACGCAAGCAAGACTCTAAATAATGCCCAGCAAAATTGTACGATTACTGAACAAGAGTTGCTTGTTGTAGTCTATGCATTTGAAAAGTTTTGGGCATACTTGCTAGGCACCAAAGAAATCGTACATACTGATCATGCTGCACTCCGTTACTTGATGGCAAAGAAAGATGCAAAACCAAGATTGATAATGTGGGTGCTACTGTTACAAGAATTTGATTTTGAGGTAAAAGATCGAAAAGGATATGAAAATCAAGTGGCTGATCACTTATCAAGGTTGGAAATAAGGGCAAATGCTGAGCATGAGGTCTACATAGACGACTCCTTCCCCGATGAATAGGTGTTTGTAATATCTCTTAAACGTATGCCATGGTATGTAGATTTTGCAAATTACATACACTAAAGTTCTCCAGAGTGGATATTATTGGTTGTCCCTCTACAAGGATGCACATGAGTTTGCGAAGAAATGCTCTCAATGTCAGCAGCAAGGTGGAGTGTCTAGAAAACACGAATTACCTCTCATTCCTACTTTAGAGGTCGAGCTATTGGATGTATAGGGGATCGATTTCATGGGCCAATTTGTGAGCTCATTTGGAAATAAATATATCTTGGTGGTTGTAGATTATGTTTCCAAATGGGTGGAAGCCATTGCACTTCCAAACAACGAAGGAAAAAACATTGTCCAATTTCTGAAACGCTACATCTTCGCAAGATTTGGCACTTCGAGGGCAATCATTAGCGATGGGGGTTCCCACTTTTGCAATAGGTGGCTTTCAATGGCACTGAGCAAATATGGGGTGAAACACAAAGTAGCAACCCCATATCATCCCAAAACAAGTGGCCAAGTCGAAGTGTCAAATAGGGAAATCAAAATCATCTTGGCAAAGACATTAAATGTCAACAGAGCTGACTGTTCCAGGAAACTCGATGATGCACTATGGGCATATTGGACTGCTTACAAAACACCTATCGGTATGTCTCCATATCAGTTGGTTTATGGTAAGGCTTGTCATTTCCCCGTCGAGTTAGAACACAAAGAATTGTGGGGATTGAAAGCTTTAAATTTGGATTGGTCAAAAACTTCAAGGGAGAGGATAGAGCAGTTGAACGAACCGGATGAATTTAGACTCAGATCGTATGTAAGTTCAGCCATCCACAAAGAGAAGATGAAGAAGTGGCATGACGCTCGGATACTCAAGCGGGACTTCAAGGTAGGAGATTGGGTTTTGTTATACAACTCTCGACATAAACTCTTTCTACGAAAGTTCAAATCCAAATGGTCTGGACCTTTTAGAGTAACGCGAGTGTTCACCAATGGTGCCATAGAAGTTGAAGATCAGGAAGGACCTCCATTTAAAGTGAACGGTCAACGTCTGAAATTATATTTTGGGAATTGTCAAGAGATTTCTTTGGTTAAAGTGGGGTAATTGGAAGACGCCTTAAGGCGCTGCTGTGTCGTGCCGCGACGTTAACTAAGGCGCTATTTGGGAGGCAGATATTTAGTTGCAAGAAAACTTGATGAAACAGTCGGCAAGCCGCCGAGTCACTGAGGCTAGCCAGATCGAGCTCGCTGAAAGTACCAGCACAAAAAATTTCAAAAATCAAGATAGGTCACCGATGTTCAGGCCCATTCGGTGAATCACCGACAACAATCAGCGAGCTCAAAGTAGCTCGCCGAAAGTTATAGTGTATTTTAAGGGTTAGGGGTACAGAAAGGATGATCAAGAAGGCCTTTCGGTGTGTTTTCGAGTGAACTCGGCGAGCTCAAGCATCTCGTCAAAAATTATAAATAAACCTCAACCATAATTTGAAATTAAAGGTGATCTGTGGAGGACTTTGGCGAAGTACCGAACCACACGGCTAGCTCAACATAACTCGCCCAATGTGCCAGTTTTCAACCCCAAGCTGAAAACCAAGCCCGTAGCCACCAAATTAAAAATCAAACACCATTCAGTCTAAGTCAGACCCATACGACTGATGCCTTAACGGTACTCAAACGTCCCCTGATTTGGCTTAAATTGGTCATTTGATGACTTTTTCCCTTAAGAATGACGACAAACGCTCCATCATTGGGTAAATTACGCCATTTAGCACAATTTTGGGTTACTTAGACTTCACCCCACTAGACCCAACACATATAAACCGCAACCCAACAATTTAACTCGATTTTTCGAGCAAGAGCATGGGAATCGATCAATTTAAAGAATTTACGCACATATTTAAACAAATTACGGGCAATCCAACACATTAAACACGATTATACCAACTACCCAACACAAAACAACAACAAATTTACCTATTGCATTTGATTTCAACCACAAAATTAAAGTACAGGGTTCGGAAAACAAACCTTAATGCCAAATTGCGAGTTTGAATAGCTAGGCGGCAAAGTTCCCCAATTCGTGCACAATTTCACACAAAAATGTGGGTAAAAGCAATAAAATGTAGAAGATCAAAAGTTGGGTGAGAGGGTACAAGAGTTAAAAATGAGAGAAAATGAAGAATTTTGAAATTTTAAACCGTTTGGCCTTTACGACCTTTCTGTTCGCGGCACATTTGGCGGAGTGAGTTGTTCTCTCCGACCCACTCGGTGATTTGCCGAGTGGTATTTTACCTTGCCGAGTTTTATAGGACTCCCAGCAATTTGGGGGTTCAAACGGCTGACAAAATCGGGCTCGCCGACCTGTTCGGCGAGTCATCAGTTAAGCATTTAGCCCACCGAGTTTTACAGAGTTCTCCTTCAAGATTGGTGGTTCCAACGGTGGTCCAAGTTGGGGCTTTCCGACCTGTTCAGCGCGTCACCGACTGGACTTTGGCTCGCCAAACTACCTATTTTCCAACACTTTTCAGTTTTCAACCTACACAATCAACTCCTGTTATTCAAAATCAAAAACTAAAGCAGTAAAAACTTGGGTTGCCTCCCAAGAAGCGGCTTAGTTAACGTCGTGGCACGACAAATGTACCCATTTACGGATCATTCTTTGGGTATTCCAAGGTATCACTTGGTAGGCCCCCTTTAGGCCTTGGATTCAAATGAGAAGAAATTTGACCCATCTGGGTCTTCAAATGCTTGATTGACACGAAATGATAGGTGACCATCTCATTAAGTGTAGAGACATCCTTTTTCATCTCCTTCAATACCTTGTCCTACCCTTCAACTTTATTGAGAATGCGTGAAAACATGTCTTCTGTACGAACATTTTTAGATTCCTTGGGCTTTTAACGCTCATGGGGTGGGACGTACCTGTCCTTATCACCCTTTTTTTCCTTCCAAGTGGTGTTACGATCATGTCATTCTCTATCATGGTCTCTCCATCCCTCATCTCTATTCCAACTCGGGTTCTCCCTGGCCTTGGATAGTTTTGCCGATATCCACCTCTTTGATTAGCTAGGAAGTTCACTTCTTCAATGTAAAGTGCTTCAAAGTGAGCTTTGTCAGGATTTACTCCACCAACACCAACAATATTTACACTCTTTTCCCCACTACCCATCACATGTTTCGCCAAGATATCCAACTGGGTCATCATTTTGGCCATGTTTTGGTCCCTCACCCAATCCTTTTCGATCAGTTCTTTTGTCATTCTAAAAGTGAGAGGAGACACTTGGTCCTCACGAGTATACCACGTATGCTCTGTTTATCTTGGTCATCGCATCAAGAAGTTGTGATGCTACTTCATAGGATTGTTGTATTATACCACCGGGAACACGTTGATCAACAACTCATTTGTTCACCAAGTCAAAGGTCCTATAGAAGTACTACTGCAATTTGTGATTCGGCATCCTGTGGGTTGGACATTGAAGTACTAATTTCTTAAACCTCATCCACGACTCATGGATAAGTTCACCTTCCAAGTGCTTGAAACCTTGGATACTGTCCCTAAGGGTCATCATCCTTGACGGGGAAAGAATCTCACATGGAATGATGTAGTAAGCTCATCCCAAGAGGTTATGGAATCCCTTGGTAACTCAGCCAACCGTTTACTAGCCTCACCCATCAAGAGAATGGGAAAACCCTGAAACAGACCGATTCATGTGAGTTCTTGAATGAGAACGGACCACAAACATCCACGAAGTTTCGAATATTTTCACGTGGGTCTTCGTGAGTCAATCCTCCATATAATACCTTCATTTGGAGGAGCTGCAGCATTGTGCTTCTGACATGGAAGACGGCATTCCCTTCAATTGGAGGTAGACGTATTTCACCCACACCACCCAATAGAATTGGGTCATTCACATTTTGGTCATTTACATCATTGAGGTACCTAATATCGTCTTGGTGGCCCACGTGGGTACCATTGCTCCCGTTTACGCTCATCTCTTCCTCTGTTCAACACAAGCAACACAAAAACAAAAACCTACAGTAAGTAGATTCAACTACAACAAAAGAGATCACAATTCAACTTCACTAAAAGAATTTTAAACTATACCACTCCCCGGAAGTGGCGCCATTTTTTATTAACGTTTCAAACTCACCTCATCCAATTCTAGGTGTAAATGATCTTTAAGCCGTATAAAACCCAACAAATGAGTTGGGGTCGAACCCACAGGGAGTGGTAAATGTTCAAATTCAATTAGGAAGTACAAAAGTGATCTAACTAGCTACAGGAATAGAAATTATCGAAAAAGACATGAAACAAATAAAAAAGGGTTACACGAATGTCAGATGGGGGGGGGGGGAGAGTTGGCTGCAATTATCTGCTACAATGCAATCACACAAAACTAAAATAACAATACGGAGAGGAATTCTCGGGATGTGATCGATTATAGGAAAAAATTTCTATATGGGTTATTGTAACTACTAATACATAGCTAAATATCAGTGGGTAGGCTAGACTATGAGGGAGATAGTTTTCTCTCGAACAACTACCCCAAATCAGGTGATTTCTTTCGAACATCAACAAGCGCAGCAATTTAGAACAACCCACACCTTAATTCATCCACTCTATCGAGCTAGATGGGTAGGATTGGGTTTAGGATTTACTCTCTCGAGCTGAACCCATATCAATCAAATACCTACAAACCATTAATCAAAAGCCCTGGTTCCAAAACCTCTCTCTCGAGCAAGCAAAGAACATAAAATTAGAACTGCATTTGCAACTACAGTTTATAAATTAAACTTCAGCTAATGATTAAAGTCACTTCAATATAGCATTTAAACTAGTAATTAACAATACCCATAAGCTGATTCAGCCCATAATCACATTATCACACACCAAGAATTGGGGTTTTAGTCAAACATCATAAAAAGGTAAAAATAGTTACCAAATTGATTAGCCATCAACTAGGTAAGAGTATTCAAGCCTTTACAATGTTTCAATTTGAAGAAAATTAGTAATCCACTTGCAAAATCTCCGAATTGAGTCTCAAAAAGCCAAGGAAACTCTCAAAACTTAAAAGAAAACTATACTAATGGTAGCAAGATCCTGAATTTACATTTAAAAGTTCAATTTATAGTTGCCAAAAATAAGGCACGAAGGGCCATTAGGCGATGTAAGTCGGGTTCGCCGAGTGGTTCGATGAACCGCTATTTGCTCTCTTCTATCGCTGTTATGGATTGTTTCTCAGCATCCTGAAGTCCTATAACTTTGGGTGATCCATCTTGTCATCGCAGAACTGATCAACGATTCCCCAACTGCCCATTCTTGTTGCCGACTTGGTTTCTTCCCTCAGGGCTGGCACACTAGAACTTTAGGCGGACTGAAGATCCACTCGACGAGTGGACGAGTGGTCTTGGCAATCACCAGGATCGGTTTTCCCCACTTCTTCAGCTTTTTATGCTCTTTTTTGCCTATTAGTACCCTTGCCTTGCTCCTTAGCTCAAAATCCTGAAAATCAAGGTATTAACATGAGTTTATAGCATAAATTAGTCATTTCAAGACACTAAAACTATCAAAACAAAGCCCTAAATGAGTCCAAATATCTGACTTATCACCACCCTACATTGAGTAGATATTATAACATATTATTATTATTGTTGTTGTTGTTGCTGTTGTTGTTGTTGTTGTGTTGTTGTGTTGTTGTTGTTGTTGTTGAAGTTGTTGTTGTTGTTGTTGTTGTTGTTTTTGTTGTTCCTTTTAATCTTTCAATAGACAACTAAAAATTCTCAATCACACATACCAGAGATTTTTGAACATACTATATACCTCATAACTACAAGAATAAAAAGTAATTTGGGAAAAATACCTCAAATATATTTGAACTTTGATCGAAATTGTTGTAACAATCGAAACTTTGGACAGGACCTATTACTCCCCTGCACTATTTAATAGTGTATTTTAAAGATATATAAGTGCCCAGCTGAACAAGTTACTATTTATAATAATGCAAGATTTATGATGTCCACGTGGGCACCTATATATCTTTAAAATACACTATTAAATAGTGCAGCGGTAATAGGTCATGCCCAAAAATTGGGATTGTTACAGCA